ACATGCTACACTAACATGACATCAAAAAATAGCAAAGGCACCAATTCGCCTCATAAAACTCCTATATTCCAACCTACAAAATATCGCGGAACCTAGAACCCTAAACCCTACAACCCTAAACCCTGAACCCTAAACCCTAAAACCCTAGACCCCAAACTTCGTTTGAAACTGACACGCTCAGCCCCCTGACCCTCAAACCAAGTAATCTGAATCCCAGAAGCGGAAGCCCTAAACCCTAAACCCGGAACGCTAAACCCTGAACCCTAGATCCTAAACCTAGACCCTAAACCCCTAAACCCTAAACCCTGACCTTGAATCCCGAAGCCCTCGAACCCAGCCAACCCGAGTTGCAAACGTTCATACCATCCATGCCCTAAAAGTCGTGCGGCACGCAAGGCTCGGACATACGGTTGATGATATAAAACCTGCATTACTCATAATGAGGAATGTGCCATAATTTCCATCGTTTAGGGTCCTTTAAAATAATGCAGGAATTATACCGTCAACAATAGTATCAACTCTAAGCCTTTCCATCTTCTTATGCAAACTGGTCCAGGGCAAACTCAATGTTCAACTACGAAACTCTGCAAATTGCAAACCCTCAACCTTGATGCGGAGAGTACGCCTCTGCCGCCCTCCCGCTTTACCACCGTCTCAAAGACCGAGCATGTGCTGAGGCCGAGGCCCTCCAGCCCAAAACCGTGAATCAAGACTTAAAGCTTGACATCTTGTGGTCAAAACCGCGCGGTAGCGCCTACAACTCCTACAACCTAAAGGGCACTGAACTGCACCCTTCAACCTCAAACCCTCACTCAACCTTTAAATCCCAAACCCCTAACTCCTAACCCCTCGGACCCTTAAAAGTATAGAAGCCAGAAAGTTGGAGCATAATTATCCTCATGCCGTTAAGGCCAAAGTATAGCAATAGGGAATCCCAGCACTGATCATCCTCAAATCCCAAACCACTAAGCCAGAAAGTTGGAGCATAATTATCCTCATGCCGTTAAGGCCAAAGTATAGTAATAGGGAATCCCAGCACTAATCATCCTTAATCCAGTTTCCGACTTTTGGTTGTTCACTATAGAACCCTAAACCCTAAAACCCTACAGGGTTTAGGGGTTTCAGGGTTTAGGGTCGAAACCCTAAAACCTTCAATCCCAAATCCCAAGCCAAGACGCTTTGCACTGGCATATTCGAAGGTGCATGGGGTGAGCCTAGGGTTTCTGGGTCTAGTGTTTGGGGGTCCAGGGTTTACCCTAAGGGTCCAAGTACCTGATAATCATATACTCTCCCAAGTTTTAACCTACATAACTACTATCCGAAACCTAAGTACCTGATTATTTGGTCCTTTGGACCCTTAGGGTTTAGGGTTTGGCGGGTGAGCCTTGACAGATGGAAGTTTGAGTTGGTGCTGGGAGTTTCGGACTCTAGGTTCGGTATTGCCCCCACCCTGTAACAGTCTATATTTAGGGGCATGTTAACCCTGTAACAGTCTATTTCTAGGGGCATGGTAAGGGCTAGATTCAATAATTCTTATCCAACTGTGGCAGCATCCGAGGTTTAGGGCTCTTTTGGACTGGGTGTTGCGCATGCAAAACCCACAGAACCTGCCTCTAGCCTCAATGTCCAAGCCGCCCCAAACCCCAAATCGTAGCCAACATCCTAAGTCACAACAAAAATCCGAATCCTAGCTCCCAGATCCACCCTCTCTGAAATGCATTCAGGGTTCCCAGGGGGGCCCGATGCCCCTCAATTAAGGAATGGGTTTACCTTAAGAACCCAAAACCTACTTTTTTGTAGGGTCCCTATAAATCCCATATTAGGGTTTATAATAAGAACCTACAAAAAAGTGGGTTTGGGGTTCTTAAGGTAGGGTTCAATTTAGGCTTTTCTTCTAGAGTGCTTCTACGATCGTTTCCTGCAGCCTGAATCCTAAGCCTCAGCCCGCCGGGCCCCATCCCGAAGACGACCGGAGCGCTTAATATGAGGGGCTTAACCCTAAGGCTCCATGTACCCATATAGTATATACTTAGGCCTTAAAGTACCTATATAGGGACCTCTTTAAGGCTTAAGTTTCTACTATATAGGTACATGGAGCCTTTGGGTAACATGTCTTATTCATTAGAGTAGGGCTTCGGGCATGATACCCGAATGATAACAGGAAAATGCAAGCCGCAAGGAATATATGCACTCAGCCTGCATTACACCGGTTTAGGGTTTTAGGGTCTCCTATATTACACCCTAAAGCCCTAAAGCCTAAATCAGAAAAGTTGGTAAAGCACAGTGAGAAGCCACAATACTCAAACACCCTGAGGCCTGTATTCTTATCACCAAGAGCCCTGAGCCCTAACAAAATCTTGGTAATTCTGCCGACCTCCTAAAGCCTAAACCCTAAACCCCTCCACCCTAAACCCCCTAAAGCCGAAACCCCTGCACCCTTAAACGGTTTAGGGTTTAGGGGTTTAGGGCTTAAGGGGTTTAGGGTTTAGGGGTTTGGAGGTTTAGGGTTTAGGGTTGAGGGTAAAGTACTCTCCCAGCGGCGTGCGGCGCTGGGAAGAGAAGTTGACTCAGCTGGCTGACTGCCGGAGGCGCCCATGGCTTCAACGAGTACTGAAGTAGTTCAAGCAGTTACAAGTATGGTTACGGTTACCTTGTTTTAATCATGTTTAACCTTAGGGCTTTTGTAGGTCTTATTGGTTAGGGGAATCTAGGGTTTCTAGGGCTAGTAGGGTTGAGGACTTAAGGCTAATGGGGTTTAAGGCTCGGGGCTGTAACAGATTATATGTCAATAGGCTTGACACGGCCTTTTGAAGGTTTTGTTCAGGCTTTCAGTGATTCAGGGCTTAGAGTTGTTGGGCTTTGCGCTCTAGGGTTTTAGGATGTAGCACTCCGCCAGTCCCTGAAGTACCAAGACTAGTACCTACTTGTCCGGTATCCTGGGGAACTAGAGGTTAACCTTTGGAAGTCTAATTATTGGGATTACATCAGGGTTGAAGTACTCCACACATGTTAAAGCTTACCTTACCCCCTGTGCTATTAGGAGCACCCAGCAATACTTCCCGAAACTCTAATGAAGACTTCTCGATTTGATGCGGAGTTGGATTTGCTGTCAGAACGCCCAGGCCCCAAAAAGCCTGAACCCCATGCCATGAAACCTAAAGTAAAATCCTAGAGTCCGAAGTTCCTAGGATTTTACAGTTATCGACAGCCTGAGCCCTAGACCGCAAATTCGACAACGAGAACCCTGAAGAAACTAGGACGGCCAACCAGTTTCGATTGGCCAAACTGCACGCGCGATGTGTCGCAAGTAGGACTGACTCATGGTGTCGGGGAGTAGGTGTTAAAATGGTGGGGAGGGTCGGCTCTTCCAAAACCCATTCCATTCTGACTACTTATGCCTGTCGCAAGTACAGCTATAGCCACCTTAGTTGGGAGTTGTACTTCATTATGCAAACAGTTACCTTATTTGTAACCCTAGTCGCTAGGTCCCATGAGGTTTGAGTAGGCTGATGGCATTTGGGCGCGAAGGTCTCCCATAGGAAGGTCCGTATGAAAGCGCCACAACACCACCAAGAACCTCTAGAGACTAGCCGGGTAGCTCTGTAAATGAGGGTCTCTTTTAGGGTCCTCTTTTTTTAAGGTGCCGCCTTCTTTTCGGTTCCTAGACTGCCCTAGTAGTGCCCATTGAAGCCTGGCAGGCGACGAGCTGTGGTGAAGTTTGCGGAAATTCACGGACATTTGTGATTCAGCTACAGGATGCTCAGCTTCAGCATGCTTGAGAAATCGACCCGAAGCTTGTTTCAACCTTATAAACGATACACCCGAGCCCTTTAAGGTCCGGGGTCAGGATTTAGGGTTAAGGGTTAGCTGCCCATATCCTATCCCTACACCCTGCAACCTACTAATTTCACCGCCTTACCAAACCCTAAACCCCACAAGCCTACTATAGCGCCTTATGAAAGCAATGCCCTAAACCCCAAACCCCGCATGTTGCAGTGAGGGCTCCCAGGACCATCTTCAGTCGACACGAGGCGCCCAAAGGAAACCATTAAAACCTTCCAACATTCCCCTAGGACTCTAAGGACTCATATTTTAAGGCTTTTGGGCCCAAAAGACCCTATTATATAAGGCTTTTGGGCGATTTTGATGCTAAGGGTTCCATTTTTCAGGAGTATGCCCTAAGTCATAGTAGGCATCCTACTATTATGTTAACGCATGTTCCTTAATGAAAGGATATGGGAAGGTCTGGGCCCTGAGCCCTGATCTTTAATAACAGTGTTTCTAGGGTTTAGGGTTTAGGGTTTAGGGTTTAGGGTTTAGGGTTTCAGAATACAAGCCAACAAGACCAATCAGGGACATAGCATGATGTAGGCTGCCAGCCGTCTTTTCCACCCTGAAGCAGCTTGCGCAGTAGGTCTCAACGAAGGAGCTTTGTGTTCTCTGGGTAGCACTTCTTATGCTTTTTCGTCGGTCGTCGTTGTCGTCCTCGCTCCCTGGGCTCGCTGGATCGAGGTTTGAGCGACCGGACAACAAAGTTTCACACGCCAAGCACCGCCCGTGTGCCCAACGCTAGTTGTCTGGGACAATCACCTGATGTGCAAGTCGACACCATGTACAGTTGCACACACTACCTCTTCAGTCAAGGGACGTCGCCGGGCTGCATGAGGACCTTGTGGGTGAGGGCCTCGTATGTGATGTTCTCAGCATGTGGAGCTGCGTGTAGCCGTCTGACAGCCCCGGGATCGCCCATTCCATGAGAGCGGTGTCCTCTTGATACAGAAGGCGTTGGGTACGCACAGCCCTCCAAACAAAGCTCGATGGAAAACTGCACTTCACGACACGCACCCCTAAACCGAATGACCATGTGAAGTATGTGACTACACCGCCTATGGTCCGAAAGGCGTCTCCTCGAGGTGCGGTTTGAGACGCGATCCAGATGGGCCTCCCAAGATGAGGTCCATTGCGGCCTTCCGCTGAGACCCTTCGAAGCTCGAGGTCTCCTACTTGGTTCGCCAATGACCGGTTGCGTACATCCAGTTGCCCTTGTTGAGGTCGCCCAAAACTCGCTGCCACGTCACATTGTAGGCCTGGATCTTGGGAGTGAGCTGCGGGCTTGCCTCAAGCAATCCAAAGGCATGTAGCTGTGTGGACATGTATTTGTCCTGCAAACTCTCTTCTCCGAACCGGCGACGTACCTTGGCAATCTTGCCGGTGGCGAACAGCTCCAGATGCGCTCCGCTCTGCCCGGGAGTCACCTCCATCATCGCTCGACAAACATGACCTTGCGTGTTGCAGGCTTTGCCAGGTCGCAAAGCAGTGGAAAGGTGAACATACTCCAAGGGTTTGTTGACTGACTGCTTGGTCCATGGTCCACGACCGAACTCGCCGGCGTACTGAGGGTTCTTGCAGCGGCGCAAGTCCTCTGGAAGATGAAACGGTTCGTGACGCTGGCACTCCAACGCATGCTCTGGCAGGACCACAGCCGCCTTCACACCGAGAGGCTGCAGCATTGACTTCCGACGGACCTGGTCGTGATCGCCATCAATCCCGGGCACCAGCATGTCACGAGGCTGCAACACCATAATGAAGAGCATGCTGGCCGTCACGAGCCCCGGAGTCTTTGGCACATTGCACAGCCAAGTGACGCCTGCTCCCAGCAGGTGCAGGCCACAAAGCGCGGCACCAGGAACAAGTAGGACTGCTCACTGTGCGATGTCGCTGTGGTAGAAGTATTTTGAGTCGTAGCACTGCTGTTCAATACAGTCCAGCACGTCCTCGTGACAGTCAGGGCCATTCGGTGCTGGCGTCCGGCCGTGTTGTGTAGCGACTGCGATGGACCTGCTAGTAGCCTACAAGCACTGGAATACCAGATATCGGACTTTCTTTGCATTTTCCCGAGGTTCTGGCGTTGCAGGCATGTAGGCCTCAGGCTCCGAGCTCTGAACTAGGTGCCACTTCTGGAGTGATGCTGCCGCAGACCGGCACGAGTGCACATTGGCGTCCCAAAGCGTGTCACGGTGCGTGAAAATGACATGGCCACCTGGGGCGACCACCCTGCACCATTCTTTGTAGACCTTGTCAAACAGCTGGACATATGATAAGACACCAACACATACCACCGCAGAGAAGCTGTCGTCCGTAAAGGGCAAAGGTCCCTGTGAGCCCTCTAAGTCCCAGCATGTAACAGAGTTGTAGAGCCTCTTTGCTTCGCAAAGCCTCAACATCTCACTGCTGACGTCCACACCGACCAGCCCCCTGAAGCCAGCTGCTGCCAGAGCTTCCCCACTCAGGCCAGTGCCACAACCTGCATCGAGCACCGGCAACGAAGCATGTGCTGCAGTAGCTTTGCAGCCCCGTAGCATCGCAGCCACCCGAGCAGGGGCACGATAGTCCCACAAAGAAACTGTGCCATCGTAGCTGGCCGCCCATCGGTCATACCTCAAAAACCATACCAAACAAAGCGAAGTATAGAAAATATAGGCCTTCATAAACTAACCAGAACCAACAAGAATCCCTTCTATGAGTAAAAGCCTACTAATCCGAACCTTCATGTGAATATTGCAGCAACCCCAATGAAGATGGACTTAGTAACTGGGTTTAAAGTTCAAACCGTACTTGTAGCCCGAAGCACCTGACCATAAGCCCTCAACAACTCCATGAATCCGAGTTGACACCTGCAAAATCCACAACCCTCTGGAGCCTGCTCGCCAGTTCAAAGATCCTGATTTTGGACAACATTTAGGGTTTAGGGTTTAGGGCTTGCAAAACATGTGAAACCATTTCGAAGCCACCATAAAGCCCTCAGTGAACCCTACACGACCCCCTACAACACTCTATATAACCCCCAAGACCAACAACAAACACACTCGTGGAGTTAGAGCCCTGTAAAGACCCTGTAAAAATTCAAGAAAACTTCATAGAACCCGTCAGAAGATTCTATCGAACGTATACGATTTTAAACCCTCAAAAACAACAAAAGTCCTATACTGAATCCGCGTCGACCTGAACCCCGAAACCCGAAACTAAACCCTAAACCATAAGTCCTAAACGATAACCCCTAGACCCAAAAGGGTTTGGGGTTTAGTGTAGACCCTAAACCCTAAACCCATAAACCCGAAACCCCTAAACCCATAAACCCTAAACCCATAAACCCATAAACCCTAAGCCCTGAACCCATAAGCCTATAATTCTCCGAAGTCACAGCTCCACGGCCCCGGCGCGCGTCTTCGGCGTCTGTCCGAGGCCGGGTGCAGAGGAACAGCCGGAGGCAGCCTCCCCTTAGGTTTTTTGTTCCTTAAATCCCTAAGGATCCATGTATGCAAAGAGTTTATGGGTAGGGCTCCTTTTCAGGTTCCCTTTTTTAAAGGGTTCTATAAGGGTACCATAAGGGTTTAGGGTTTAAGGGTCCATGGTATATACATTGGCCCTAAAGTAGTCCCTATATAGGTACTTTAGGGCCAATGTATATACTATTTGGGTATATGGACCCTTAGGGTTTTTGTTCTTTAAATTGTTCTTTTTTCAATGAGGGCCTTGAGGTTTGGAGTTTAGGGTTTAGGGTTTAGGATTTAAGGGTTTAGGGGTTTAGGGTTTGGGGGTGTAAGGGTCTAGGGGTTTGTGTTTTAGGGTTTAAAGCCTAAGGGGCTTTAAAGGCTAATCGAGCTAAGGTATCGCATTTAGGGAATAGGGTTTCGGGCTTTACAGTTGTAGATTTTAGAAACCAAGACCCTTTGGTACCCTAAACCCTAAACCCTAAATCCTAAAACCCTAAACCCTAAACTCTGAACCCTAAGGCCCTGAATCAATAACGAGGTGTATCAGAGGTTTAGGGGTTCAGAGGCTTAGGGCTCAAGGTTCAGGGTCTGTGGCTTTCGGGTTTTAGGGCTTTGGGTCTCGGCTTTTAGCCTTTCGACTTTAGGGCTTTGAGCTTTGATTACGGCTTAAGGCTTTAAGGTTCTAGGGTTTAGAGGTTTAGGTGGAGGGCTGAGGGGTTTGGAGGCTAGGGTTCAGGACTTTAGGTTTAACGGCTTAAGGGTTTTAGGGTTTAGGGTTCAGAGTTTAGCCTTAAAGGTTCAAGGCTGTCTGATATGGCTCTATAAGAAATTTTTCGAAATGCCAAAACAAGAGACTATCACCCAACAAAACAAACTAGAACAGTACCCAAGAGCTGTTTCGGAAGGTCCGCAAACGACGGCAGCCATGGCGGAGCAACATGGGGATGCTTTGTAGGGCTTCAATAATAAGTTGTGTGAAGGTGTCTCCAAGGTCTTGGCTTAGGCTGGCTCTATGGCATACTTCAAGGGCTGCGCTGCTGTTTGACAGTGGTCCTGCTGGTTTGCGCCGAGCATATGGGGTTGGCACACAAGAGGGCTGCAGCGGCTGCCGGATGAAGTTACGTACCCTAAACCCCTAAACCCTAACTGTGGTGCTCACAAAGCCCTCCGAGTGTTGGCTTTAAGGGTTTAGGGCTTTTACCGCTTAGGGATTTGGGGTCTCAGGTTCTGGGCTTTAAGCTCTACATGGGGTTTCATGGTCTCATTGCGACCAGCGTTACTGTGGAGAACTGAGGCCTCCGCTCGATATCTGAATACGAGCCGGTCTGTGGAATCGGTGCATATGTAAGTCACTCTGAACACTCATAAACACATACTTGGAGGTTCATGGGACTTACTCAGTACAGTCACAAGTACCTTAACTGGGGTTTATGACGAATAACAAGTATAGGCTACGACATTTTCAAGCCTGGCTACTAATTCTTATTTACTAAGTCCCATGAGTCTTTAAGTAAGGGCATTCTTCCTGCATGGGGAACCTACAGTCATGATACGACCCGCCCGTAGAATCTTACCCTATGTCACCCGTAGTCAATTGTAGTACAAACTCACAAGAAAAGTACGTGATATATGCACTTTGGCACATGCAGCTGTACGTACGCATGATCGCGAACACAAACACAGGCATGCATCCGTGCATGCATGTTTGATTCCCGCATCGCGTGCATACCCACATACTGACTGGCATACAAACGTGGTTGCATACTTAAGCGCTGAATTGCTCCATTGCTGGCTTGCTGACTTAATGCGTCTGTGTTGCACGCCCTAAATCAAATAACACCTTTAAAGCCCTAAACTCTACTGACCTCGTAGAGTTTAGCATTCAATAGGGTTTCGTTTTTTTTTTAGGTCTTATCTGCCAGTTAAACCTTGACACCGAAGAGATGTTGGACGATGGGTGTGTGCGGGCCTTTATTCCTGGCGTACGGTGGCGACTGGAGGCCGGCCTCAACACAAGAAGGTTCAGTGACTCAAGTATGAACTGAGAAATACAACGCGGCAAGACAAAACCCACAATGTAGACTCCTGGTTAGTAAGTGCCCTCGTTTGCAGGGGTTCTATTTACGATCCGATCAGTCGGGCCCTGAAAAGAAAAGGGGTTTATCAATCAGCAGTGTAAATTCACTCTACCCTCAACACAAACGGTCACACATGGCCGGCATCAAACTCACCCTGGACATGGCTTCTAAACCTGAACCCTAGCAGCCCCTATCAGCTTCAGGGCGGTACTTCCACCGTGCGGCTAAGGGGTGAACAGGGTTTATGCATCGGGATCCCGTATTGAAGGTCTGGGTGTAACATAAGGGCCCTAATAGTTCGAAAAGGGTTTGGGGGGCTTATGATAGTAATGTAGGGGCCCTAATAATTTGTTTAGGGTTTGGGGCTCCTTTATAGTATTATCATAACAAGGAACCCGTAACAGTAATAATGGAAGTTATTTAGGCTTCTATTTTAACATATTGCGCCGGCGAAAGGAGGGGTATCAGTACTAGTATCACTCCCACTCCTAAATACGGATGCAGTGCTAATGTTGAATCGGTGAGGAATTTTGTTTGACCTAGAAGGCAAGCAGTATACACGAGTATAGATTTGGAACACTGCATCGTGCCGCATACGGAAGCTCTGTGTGATTTCCCGGCAACAACTGTAACAGCTCCTGGCAAACCCGCTTTCAATCATCTCAAGCCTAAGACCTACAGTAAATCCCAAACCTCGTGGTCCAGGGTTTATGGCTCAGGGCGGCCCCAACCGTCTTTCCCTCGTAGAGCGGAACCGTAGTGAGCAGCCGTTTTCTGCGGAGCATAAAACTGCGCGAAGGTCCCTGCACTGTTGGAGACACTCTGATAGAACCCGCAGAAACGTGCGACGGCCCTTCTCTTAAGGAGGGCGCTAGACTTGTTTGGGGCTTAGGGTCTATAAGGGTCTGTGCATGTCTTGTCGGCTTGTGACGTTGCGCATTGAAGTGTAGTTCTGTGTGCTTTGGTATAACCGTGGTGGAGACATAACTGCTCAGCCTGCTCATCGAATTCGGAACGACCATTGGACTTTTAACCGCGGCCTGAGCGAGATACCGTCACTTCAGAGTCCTTGATGGGCTTCGGGGTTCTGGGCTGTTCGCAGACCTGCAAGATATCGGTTGAAATATAAGGCACTCCACCTGAAACCCTGAACCACAAACCTCTGGCGCCCTTGAGCACCCCTGCCTAGACCAAAATATGTAGTACCTCGGTCATGCCTCATAAGGTATCCTTTGAAGGAAA